TAACACTGCACTGAGAGAGATGAACAGAGGTGGGGGGATTAACAGATTAGAGAGAGGCACAAAGAGAGAAGATATTTAAAGGCACAATAGCAGCTGAGAAACCCGTGGCATTCTTGACATACCGGAGTGCTGACACTGTCCCTAGAATACAGAAAACACAACTGATACATCCTGAATCCTGACAGTTTCTCAGCCAAGAAGATACAATGATGCCAAATGATCTCTTTCCCCCTCTTGTGGCCGAGCCCGGTAATGACATGGAAACACCAGAAAACCAGTAAAGCCCTTTGCTTCTAGTTGAGTCTCCTCCTGTTCTTGTGTCCTCTTGCATACTCCCAAGACGTTTAACTCCACAGGCATGGAATACATACTTCTGGCATTTTACTATTTTGACGATACTGCTTTCTTCTGTGTAAATGAAGTCCCCATGCCATAGGTTTGTCTGTTAACCTTGGAGGGAAAGGTGCTCAGAATAGGTGCCCACAGCTATTGGTATCAGCTTGATATCAGCTCACAGGTGGAAGTGACATTTTTGTAATTGAAAAGGTTCCAAAGCTGCACAGGGGCAAGGTGGAGAGTTTCTGTGAAAGAGAGGTACTTGAAAACTACATTATAGTGCATCTGAATGGCCCCCGTGAATGCTATGCCACGGGAGAAGACGTGAGATTGCTCACATTAAGCAGGTCATGCAGGTAGGGAACTTTAAGTACATGCATAGCCTGAGGAAAGGGTGGGGTGGCTGGATCCGAGATTAAATCTGTCCTGAGCAGGAGCTGCCTTGAAAATCGGAGGGTGTTGCTCACCTGCAGCATCTCTGTGTCAAAACTGGAAAGACATCAGTTCTTTGCTGACTGCAACAACAATTATCACTGTCTACATGTTTACTTGCACATTGTATATTGTTTGTTTGTACATTGTCTTGATGCACTGTTTGCACTTTGTTTTGTTTTTTACACTTGTTTTACAATCGAGAGACTTTCTGTAAGAATTCCATTGTACCAGTACCGGTTACATATGGCAATAAAGTTCAAGTTCAAGTTCAAGTTCACTAGGTGGCATGTACTGCTGGTCAGAGTTAATAACTGCAAGAGAGAATCATCACTGGAACAGCGGCCTCTGCTGGTCAGAGCTAATAACTACAACAGAGAATCTTCACAGCACGAACTACAGCAAATAGGCAACTCCAACATTCCCAACTCCCATCAGTCCATCACACATAAAAAACAGCAGACAGGAGGGGGTTGTTTTCAGCAGATTTTATTGTCGTTTTTCAAACTGGAGACTGAGAACTGTTATACATCTCTCACAGACGTCCCCGCCATCACCAGCACTGAAGGGGACACTGTGAGGAGCGTCCCTGTAGATGCCCGACAGCCAAGCACATTCTGGTACAGAAGGTCTGGCGACAGCCCCGCGTGCGGCTCCTCGTTTCCACTGACCACCTGCGGGCCGGGCCGGGCCGGGCCGGGCCGGGCCAGAGTTGCTGGCTGCCTCTGCAGGCACTGCCCGCCTAGGACGCCGCTCAGCTGCACCGGAGGCCACCGAGCTGCAGTCACCCGTTACTACAGCCCTGTTCCCTGCAGGATACTGCAGAGCGGAGACGAAGGAACGCACGCCTCTCGACGGAACCCGAATGCTAAACACTCATCTCTGGGCCGACAGCGGACACTCGCTTTGACGCCTGGGGCGAGTCTGGATACATTTCCCTGTCGCGTCCTGCTCGAGAAGTGCAGGCCCAGAGCACAGAGCAGAGGGCACAGAGCACAGAGCACAGGGCTCCTCACGCGACCCAAACGGGCTTCTTCAGAATCAACTGCAAAACAAGAGCCAGGGGACACAAAAGGAAATGGCAGGGAAGAGCATTTAAAACCGAGAGCAGGGTGGTGGGGGTGGGGAACAAGCTGCTCAGCCATGTTGTTGTAGCCGATACCCTGGCTGCTCTCCAGACACAGCAGGGTGAGACCTTCCAGTCAGGACAGGAGGCTCTTCTATACACAGAGGGTGGCAGGGTCGGGGAACAAGCCGATACCCCGGACTCTCTCGAGACACAGCTGGTGCGGGACGCCCAGGTCCAGTAGGTATTAACGCCGAAACGAGCCAGAGGAGCCCAGTGGGCTCCTGTCGTTTGTGAGCTCCTGTACTCTCCTGTACTCCCCCCGCCCACTCTAGCTCCGGCGGACTACCGCTCGCGACCCGCGAGGCTGCCGAAGCGGCAGAGAGAGCAGAGGCGCCACACGGACCCCCAGGCCTGGGGGGAGGGGGATTCCCCATTCAAACCCAGAACTGGGCCGTCTGGACAGTTCTGGGTCACACCCCCCACCTTCCGCACTGCTCTGTCCCAGGACGCTGCCGCACACGGAGCGTGGAGCCGGATCAGCGGAGGCCCTGGAGTTCCTGGCCACTCCGCCACAGGCGCCCGCCTGGCTCCTCCCAGAGACGACCGCCCCACCGCCGCCACCACCGCCACCAGGGGGCGCCCAGCTGGGGACGACCGGGATCGAGGAACACAAGCGTGCCGTCGCCGGACCTGTCCGGGTTCGAGGCGGCGCTGACCCCGCGTGGGCTCCTGCAGAGCCGCACCGCAGGGCACAGGGAGGAGGCGGGGAGGCGGGAGCAGAACCAGCACGCGGGCTGAGCGCAGCCACAGACCAGCGCGAGGAGGGCAGCAGGCCGTCAGCAGTCCCACGCCAGCCCCCCACCTCAGATGGAGGGGTTGGGTGTGGACAGCAGGGGGACGTTGTCCTTCCTCCTCCTGCCCAGTGGGGGGCGGCGGTACGCCTCGCCGTCCGGCAGGGTCTCCGGCAGGGGCTTCCTCTTGCTCTCCGGCAGCAGCAGGATGGACAGGACGCACAGCAGGGCGAGGGAGGAGTAGACCACGTGGTGCAGGAAGTAGCCGTAGTGGTTGTGCAGGTCCATGATGGGGGCACTGAGGCGGCCCACTGAGCCCAGAGCCAGAATCACACCAACACCACAGCCCCTGAGAGAGAGGGGTCAATACAGACACACTGACTGACTGGACACTCCAGTACATTAACACTGCACTGAGAGAGAGGGGTTCATACAGACACACTGACTG